GGAGTCATTGAAGGCGAGAATCAGAGAGCTGAGGAGGCATTGAAGGCCGAGAAGCAGAGAGCTGCGGAGGCGTTGGATGCCGAGAAGCAGAGAGCAGCGGAGGCTGTGGATGCCGAGAAGCGCAGGGCCGAGAAGGCTGTTATCGCATTGGAGGCCGAGAAGCAGAGAGCTGAGGAGGCTTTGGATGCCGAGAAGCAGAGAGCAGCGGAGGCATTGGATGCCGAGAAGCGCAGGGCCGAGAAGGCTGTTATCGCCTTGAAGGCCGAGAAGCAGAGAGCTGCGGAATGTATGAAGGCTGCGGTGGCTAATGAGTGCTTGTCTGTTGATCCCGTTCCAGATTTGAGTGATCCGCGCAGGAAAATGAAGATTAAGTCGAAATATCGTGAAAAAAATGTTACGGAGTCGATGCCGTTGTTAGAGCGTACGAATGGTTCTGTAGATGGGAGTTCTCCTGGACGTCGTTTCTGCCCTTTGTGCATGGTGATGTAATGCTAGATTTTGTTGTGCACTTTTTGATGTTTGTCCTTTTTTTTTTGTACTTAAATAGAGCTGAGTGACTAGCACTTGTTGTGTTTGCTTGTTTGTTTATTGTTGGACGAGTTGAGTTAATGATAGATTGTTGTAACTGTGATTAGATAGTCTTTTTTTTTTTGTTGTGTGTGTGTGTGCATTGGTGTTTTTTTTTTTTTGTGTCTTCTTATTTCAGGGATGTGTTGAATCTGCGCTTTATTCAGTTAATATAAAAAAGGAAAGAAAATGGGTATATGAAAGATTTTTTTTTATTTGATTTTGGTATGCCTCCTGTGATTTTTTCGCTGCCGGTATGCCTCTCATTCGTTGACGGGTAGAATCACGTATCATTTTAGTTAGCTTCAAAAAATACAAAAAAATATTTGAGTCTGTTGCTGACTTTCAACGGTTGTTCTGGTGCGCCTTGTTTTGTTTTCGTTTTTGCTTTGGCTCTGTTAGAGAATTGAGGGTTGTGTTTTCACCGTTGTTGTATTTGAATCGTTGCCACGCCATGTCAGTTGCAGAGGGATTTCTTCGTCATGGAGAGGCGTGCAACCGGGCAGGGGCATTGGGAGGTTGTGTGACAGAGCGGTATTCACGGTGGGAACTTTTGGTTGTCTTTCGGCGTCAGTGGTCGCGTGATAGGCGAGCCAACCGGCTGTACGCACCAGTGTTTCATCTGCTTTTTTCATCCCCCTCTTCCAGCGATGAGGACGAAATCACCAGCGCCGCGGACGACGCTCCGTGGCATTTGTTATTGTATGATTTGACGCACACCTGCAGGGAGGTGCTGTGGGAGACAAAAGGTGCGGAACTCGTTTCAGAAATCCTGCAGGCTGTACCGCCGGCTCTCCACCCCACGTTTTTCTCTGTGGTCTGTGTGACCGTGGGCGATACACACGACCGTCTCGGTCTCTTTTCCGAGCATGCTTTTGAAGAGTACAAGGGGAGAGTTGAACAGCTGCGGCTGCCGCGTACGTCCCAAGCGGTGTCCGTGAGGCTTCATCGTGTAACGAGTGATTGTACAGGTATGGTGAACGGCGGAGGTGGTCATTTGCCGGCGTTCGTCGAGGACGCGATAGAGTGGGCGCGCCGTAGAACATTAGAGGCATCCGATGTATCGGCGCCGTCCCAAGAAGGCAATGACGCCATTCTTGCCGCTCTTCCACGGCTAAGCAAGCTATTGTACACTGCGACGTTTCAGGAACCTGATGGGAGCAATGCCGGTGATGAAGTGAGCGGTGTGGGGGAGGGAGAACGGCAATTGGTAACCTCCAAACTGTTAGAGGAACGTCGTGTGGCGCTTCAAAACTTGAAGATGCGTGTGGGTAACGTGGCTTCCTTCACGCTGACACCGCCAACGACGGCGGAGGAGCCGGGGCAACGGTGGTATGTGCTTCTCATCCAAAAACTCTACGTGGAAAAGGAGGAGGTGTCGATTGAGAACCTTGACCCCGGCCCACTGGAGCCGCAGCCTATTGGCGCAGAGTTACACTTGATGCGGGATGGCGGTGAGGTGTTATATCTTTATTCGCAACTATGCAACGAGAAATGCTTCGATACGGTGTACGGGGATATAATGCACGAAGACGGCGAACTCTTTGCGCAGCTAACACCTCTGGAGGGTATAGCTTTTGATGACATTGATCGTTATCTGGACTTTCTTTCGACACAGGCGCCGTCATTTTCCATGGAAACACCAAAAGAACCACTTTGCAAAGGATCATGCAGTGGCTACACATTCCCAAAGGTTGTGTTCCGTCGACCAACGGGGTCGGTTGTGAAGGATACACTAATTGCATCTCCGCATTTGGAGATTATTGAGGAGTCACCACGTTCGCCGGAGGAGTGGGATGCGGCGAGCCGCGTCTTTCTCTTCCTCTCAGATCACATTACCCCTGTGTGTGCCGTCAGCAATCGTGGTGGGTGCGGTGGGTACACGCTCAAGAGAGATGTTACACCGGTGCCTGCTCCCCCACACAACCACAAGTGTTCGTGGTGTGCTCGCCGTCGAGACAAACTCTTGCGATGTGGTGGCTGCAAGGTGGAAATGTATTGCTGCAAAAAGCATCAAATAATGGATTGGAAGAGCGGGCACAAAAAGGTGTGCAGACTGTGGCGGAAGGCACAAGAAGACTACGAAAAAACTGTCATGCCTCTTCTGCAATCATGCCCAACGGAGCGTCTTGAGACGCCATCCGCATCGGTGGTCGTGACACTTCTGCAGTTTCTCACAGATTCTTGTTGTGAGATGCAGATTGCAGGGGTTCCTGTAGTTCACATTGTTGGTGTTGATGACGACGTCACAGCGTTTATTTCAGAGCTCTCACTCCGAGTGAAAAAATTGTCCGCGCACTGGAAACAGTTGCGGTTTATCTTGAGCTCCGATGCCTTTGGAGATGGAGAACACAATGCTGTGTACGCCATCGCGGAGAGCGGCGACGTGACGCGAACGGCACCTACCTCTGTCCTTGGCGATGTGTGGCACACAAAGTCCTCAAACAATGAGGCGGCGCTGGAGGCCGCACTGCTTGTGCGCCTGTACAACGCAAAGTACCACCAATTCATTGGCCGAGACGCGAACATCAGCGAGGAAACGCCGTCGGCGGTGGTGTGCTTTGGGAACCCATTAGGAACGGGAATGTCATATCTCACTGCGGCTACCGAGGTTCTTGCGGACAGGTTCATTGGCGTTGTTCCTGTGCTATGCACAGAACCTACACTTGTCGGCGCACATCACACACTTGACGCGATCGTGATGCGGGTGCAAAACAGCTTTATGATGAACTCAGACCTGAAGAAGAAAGTTCTTGAACGTCTTTCGCATGCCGATGAATTGATCCGGCTAAATGTTGGAGGTATGGGTCACAATTCACTAGACCCGCATACGGAATCGGAGGAGGCAGATGGGACAACCAATGCGAATGCTGCGGTCCCTAAGCTGAAACCCACCTCACTGCGACTGCACCCCAATCTTTATTCCTTTATAATTCCGGTAGAGCTGGTGAAGCTGTAGTTGTAGTAGTGGTAGTTTTTTCATTATGTCGAGGCGAAAAAGCTGAGCTTGTCTTTATTTACTCATGCTGTTATGTGTGCTTCTGCTGCCACTACACACTTTCTTTCTCTCTGTGTATATGTGGGGACGACGTACTGTTTCTTTTTTGTACTCGCGTTCACTCGAGTAGAATTACATCACTGTACGACTGCCATTACGTCATATTATTTTTTTTTGCTGCTTTCCTTTTTCTGCCTATGTGTGTCCGTGTCTCTCTGCCTTGCAGGTATTGTCGCACGGCTGGTGAGGTACGGTGATGGCGAGGTACATAACATATCTTTACTCGCAAGTTTATACATAAAGCAAGACGCCCTACCGATTGTAGTATTACACCAGGAGGAGAAGCTGCAAACGATGAGGGGGAAAACTGCCGCTGTGGGAGGAGGAGGCAGCGAGACGGCATGCTGAATACACAGAAGAGGTAGTGTGAACCAGACAGACCACAACGCCCATGCGGCTTTGCGGTTGGAGAGGTGGCGCTACTCAAAAAGATTATTGCGTATTGGGGCTTTTTTTTTCTGTGTTTATTACACACACCTTCATCGGCGGAATATTTTTTATTATGTGAGGCGGCTGTATTTTTTCTGGCAGCATCTGCTTTACACGCATGCAAAGGGGAGGAAAAGAAGAGAGGAGGGAGTGGGAGCAGTACCAATGCGCAGTGTATGCCGTGTACCAATTTACCTCGTGGAGGTGTCGGCACATGTTTCTCACTTCCTTTTCATTTTTACATTCATATCTTTACAGAGTGATTAAACGAAACAACCACCAACAGGTGACTGCTACAGTTTGGGCGTAAAACGATTAGTAGGAAGCGTTAACAGCAGTTAACATGAAGGTTTTGGTATGCGGAGGGGCTGGGTACATTGGGACTCATTTGGTTCGTGCGCTGCTACGCCGAACTTCTCACTCCGTTGTCATTCTTGACAGCCTGGTGGCGACGCATGGACGCTCCAGCCATGTTGACACAAAGGAAAACTTGATGCGGAAGCAAAAGTGCGGCTATGAGCATGTGAATCCAGAACGCCACGCTGTACTGGAGGTGGGAGATGTACGAGATGAGACATTTTTGAATGATGTTTTTGCGCGGCATGCCCCTATCGATGCTGTTGTTCATATGTGTGGTTATATTGTTGTTCCGGAAAGCGTGCGAGATCCTTTGCATTATTACAACAATAATGTATTTGGGATTATCCGCTTATTAGAGGCCATGCGTGCACACCACTGCGACAAGATCATCTTCTCCAGTACAGCGGCATTGTTCGGGAACCCTGCGAAGCATGCAGCTGGGGATGGCGCACAGGTAAGCATGGAACCTATTTATCCCGATGCCAAGAAATCCCCGGAAAGCCCCTATGGCGAGACAAAACTAGTTTCGGAGTGGCTTTTAAAGGACTGCGCCTTTGCCTACGGCATCAAAAGTGTTTGCCTGCGGTACTTCAACGCTTGTGGGGCAGACGAAGACGGAGACATTGGTGAAGATCATAAGCCTGAGACACATCTCATTCCACTTGTTCTGCGCGTGCCACTTGCGGCGGAGATTAACAAGCGTGACAGGCAACTGCAACAACCTCTTGTTCAAGAATTTGTTTCGATCTTTGGCACAGACTACCCCACACCTGATGGAACCTGTGTGCGTGACTACATTCACGTGAATGACTTGTCGTTGGCTCACATTCTCGCACTAGATTACTTGGCGAAGCTCAATGCAGAGGACAAATCCAAGTTTTTCTCAGCATTTAATCTTGGGACTTCACGTGGATACTCCGTGCGGGAGGTCATTGATGCAGCGCGTCGCGTAACGGGTCATCCTATACCTGTAAAGGAATCTCCACGCCGTGAGGGTGATCCACCGGTGCTGGTGGCATCTGGTGAAGAGGCAAAGAAGGCGCTTGGGTGGGAGTTGGAGTATGACAACATTGAAAAAATTATTGCTTCCGCGTGGAAGTTTCACCAGGCTCATCCCTTTGGCTATTCCTCTTAGTTTGGACATTGCATAATAATAATTCTCTTAGGATGTTTTTCTAGATTGTACGCGTATTGGGAACGCGGATACTGGGGCAGATTTTTATTTTTATTTTTGAATCTTATTGGGAATACCTGCAGACCAAATGGTGGGCTTTTACGGGCATATTGGGAAACTACTACCTGTAATAGTCTTTTTTATTTTGTTTGGTGGCTGTGCGGAGGGTGCGTGTTGTAAACTTGCCCAACCTCATCCCTCTTGCACCGCGTAGAATGCAGGCTAAAGGTATTTCTCCAGCACCCCGTTTTTTTTTTATATACGGGCTATAGCTTTTGAGGACCCCATTGCAGATGCTCTCTTGCCGTTTGGGTATTGAATAGACATAATGCACATGTGATTTGGCATGCATTGCGGGGAAGTGTGCGTTGTTCCTACTTATTTTCCATCCCATGTTTCTACTAGGGAGGAGTAAGACGTAGACGATCCTTGCACCACTGGGTTCTTGTTCATTTTTTTTTTCTGTCTGGTGGTTGTAGTTGGGGGGATTTTTTCAACTGCATGAGACTATTAAACGCACACACACAAAAAAAAAAACGGTTAGACAACAGCGAGATATAGAAGCGCATCGAACGGCAGAAACAGAAGCAACAGCAACAATATATATATAGAGGTGGGTGGGGGAAGCTGATTATGCCGATGAAATTCACACGACTGTATTTGCGTGGGCTATGACACATGCAGCCGACTTGCACTTGAGCTGTCGAAAGATGTCTTTCATGCTTGTGTGCATGGCGGGCGATGAAGCCCCGTTCTTTGGCTCCTGATGACCCCTTCGGTGAGAATTCCGCTTCCGGTGATCCATCCGACGGCTTCTACGCCGCTTGGATCAGTGTGGACATTGACGCCTTTGCCGACGCCGCAGCTAGTGACGAGGTGCGTACGGCCCACTTTGGGCCCCGAGTGGGCAATATTCACGACGGTGGCTCGGATGTCCGTCAAGAAAACGCAGGAGCAGGAAACTCATGGCGTGGATTCTGCCTCTTCTGTGAGGGGTGTAGACGGGACAACGCTGCGCCCTCTTACGGCTGAGGAGCTGCACTCACGCGAGCTTCGGGCACGAAGGAGAAGACTTGAAAAAAAAAATATGCGACGTATTAAGACTATGTGGTGAAGGAGCTTGGCATAAAAGAAGAGGGTACAGAGGACGGCCATATGGAGGATGCAATGGACGAAGAACGGGATGTGGAGGATGCATCAGTGGACGCCATGCCACTTCCACAGTTTATGTTGGGGGAAGGGTGGCGGGAGAGCCCAAGTGGCACAGCGACGCTAGAATTCACTACTGGTAAACAGCTTCTGCGCAGTCGCGAGGGGTTGCAGGCACATGAGGCATTAGTGCAAAAGGTCCTCAACGCTTTGGGTGAACCTCACGGCGAGAGGCATTTGCCTCGCTCTGACCCGTTGCACTGGAATACAGAAGAGGTTATTTTGTGGATCACAAAAATGGAGGCCACATGGTTTTCTATCATGTCTGCCAAGGGTCTGGACAGCGGAGAAGCCACAAAGGCCGGGCTTGGAGAGGCAGCGTTAGCTGCGACTCCGCTTATGGAGGATCCGTCAATGCGTGAGGCCTTCCGTATGGCCTGTGCGGACGGACAGGTTCTCCTGCACCACACGGCACCGAGCACAGTGTTTCAGGTGATGAGGCGGTGGTACCTATGGCGACAAGAAATTAGCCTGACAATTCTAAAGGAACACCAAAAAATGAAGAAAACCGTTGGTACTGGCATGGAGGACACCAGTAGTGCCGCTTTCAGGGACGCTGTGGAGAGCGGCAGAGCAAAGCTGGATGGGGCAGTTGCAAAAGTTACACCGCTCCTAATACAGGAGACTATTTCCATTTCCCAGTGTTACCTGTATTGTCACTGAATAAATGACATCAAACACGTCTTACACAAGAAGAGGAGAACGGGGGGGGGGGGGGGGGGAAGGACGGGGATTTCAATACCGCTCTCAAGATTAAAGGGAGTAGAAGAGTCACCTGCTGGGAATCAACAGTCTGTAGATTTTCCTGTTAACACTCCACAACTTTTTTCGCCTCATTTTTATGAAAAAACTTTTTATGGTTTGTTGGTTTCTGTGGTGCTGCTGGTGGGATAACGCGTAGGACATACGCAAGCATAAGTATAGACTATCTCCCTCGCTTACACATACATACGAAAAACCAAACGAAACAAAAGAAAAGAAGAGCTGAATACCACTTAAAAGGTATTCAACGCAGGTAAGGCATGACCGACCAGGTGACACCATGGCATCACATTAATCGCTTTTATCACACAACGCGCAAGCCCATTCAACTGCTTGTGGCGTATCACGCAGATGCGGCGGCGGCGTCCATCACTTTAACAGCGCTGTTAAAGGCCTGCTTTATCCCTTTTAACCTGCACCCCATCATGGAGTATGATGAGGTGAAGGACGTGATACAGCGCACAAGTATGGTGCAAGATACGGAGTTTTTGGGTGACGGTGCACCCGTAGACGAGTTGTTTGTTCTTATTGGCCTTGGAGCTTCCATCTCACTGCGGTCTTTCTTTAACTTGGGGCGACATATTGTGATTGTGCTGGATTCCTATCGTCCTTTTCTTCTTGACAATCTGCGCGCAAGCGACAATGACCGGTTGGTGGTCTGGGGACATGATCGCATCTATGAGGAGGTGGAGCAGTTTTTCCTGGAGCAGCGAAGACTAGAATTAGTACGGGCGCGGCGGCGGCGGCGGCGGCGGATGCGCCGAAATCAACGTCGCCTACGTGCATACGGCGAAGGCGTTGACGTCGCGGAAGAAGCAGAGGAGGAGAGTGAAATTGACAGCGGTAGCAGCGATGACGATGATGATGATGCTGAAACTCATGACGATATGACTCCCTCACACAGCCAAGAGGGGATTGACTGGATGAACGAGGAGGTGCCGGAGGAGCTTGAACGGCTCTATTACGCAGCTGAGTGTGGTGGCAAAAGTTCTGCGTTAGAAGTCTACGACTTGGCAATTCTTTTGAACCGTGTTAAGGAGGCGGTGTTGTGGCACGCGGCAGTGGGAATCTGCGATTTGTTTACGCGTCGTCTGATCGATTATGGAACGTATCTAGTGGAAATGCGACGCTTACACAACGAGGTGACGCTACGCAAGGGCATTCGCCGAGGACCACTAGATGATGTCACGGAGGAAACACTCAACAGGCACCACAAGATTGCGTCTAGTAACACAATGCAGCTTATAAACTTTGATGAGGATCAGTTGTTTCTCCTGCGGCACTATTCCTTGTGGGGGGCCATGTGGTACCACCCGGTGGTTGCGAGTCTCCTGAGCCTCCATCACGTAGAGGATGGGACGGGGACGCTGCGACAACTCCTGGCACGTTGTGGTGTCTCTGCAAAATTAGCCCAACAGCCATGGGGCGAGCTTCCGGACGACGTTAGGGTGGAATCACTACGACTTGTGCACAATGAACTTAAACAAGTCTTGAGAGCAAGGGGAAGCTTCATCAAAAGCCCGACTCGTATTCGTTGTGTGGCACGCACAACAGGGTATAGTGTGGAGGTCTCAACCTTTGATGTTTGTACCCTTTTTACGGCGTTGCTTGCAAAAGTGCCGCCAAGTAATATGAACACTGAAGAGGTGAGCGAGGCAGTGATGAAGGAAAAATTACGTGAGTTTCGTCGGGAGCAGTTTTGGCGTGCTCATGGCGTTATTGATGCGGATCCTAACACCACGTTATTTGTAGCTGCAGTGCAAGAAGCGCGGATGCTGCACGAGGCAGTGGCAGCAGCCACCAGTGCATTAATGCAACCTGGCATGATTCAAAGCACCAAAGGCATTCATTATGTTCAACCGAGTGATCCGACGAATGCCTCTACTGCGTTAGAGACGTTTGGTTGTCCTTTTCGTCTTTCCATGTTGGCAGAGCGTATGTTGATTGCATTGACTGTTGAGAGGGGGCTTGGGAAGTATACACGCGAGGTACGACCAGTTTTGCTCTCTTGTCCCGTTCCTCGATTAATCGGCCCGACCACGCGACGGCAGGAATTGCAACAGCAGCAAATAATTCAAACCGAGCAGACGTTTATTGTTCTCTTTGCTCACGAAGGGCCCACAAAGGAGGGTTTGACGCCGGTTGTATCCGTCGCGCGATGGAACGACTGCGTCACAAACACTGAGGACTTCCTCGTGCCTCCATTGCGGGATTTCATTAGGCGCGACACGGTGATCATAGATGGGCGCGAGTCCACCGCACATTTAGCGGAGATGCTGCACCTTCGTTCTCTTACAGGAACCCTTTGAACAAACGGGGATAATCAAGGCACTGATATGTTAGATTTTATTTTGTGCTGGACGATACCAACCTTTCGTGTTTGAGCGTAGATTTTTGTTTGATGAATATGTGTGCCTTCTCATTAAAAGTTGTTACTTTGTGGAGGTGCTAAGAAGCGCATAGAGGCATATTACAGAGTGTAAATAGATATACGATTGGGAGGAGAGGCGAAGAAAATGAGACAAACGCCTTTCTTGTCAACGATTGGGATTAAAATGGTTTATGCTGGAGGATAAGGGTAAAGATTTTGTTATATATATATATATATATCTTAATAAAATCTTGTGTTTGACGCGTTGTCAGTTACATCTTACCTTTTTTTTTATTTTTTTATTGCTGTTCTTTGTGAATGTTTAACGGGCACCTCTTCTTTTTTTCTTTTCTCTCTTTGAACACAAGGTACACAGTCATAGAGGCGGTACTCACAGCCTCACATCCCCTTTTTGAGCTCGTACTGGCATTGTTTCAGTGCAGACGTTTTTTATTTTTATTTTGGTTTCATAGTAGACAAGGCATTGCTAGAGTTAAATTGGGAGAGAAGAGTTATCCTCTTTCACAACGCATCCCATTCACCACTGCTGCAGAGATTCCGTTTTTTTTTTGGCCGTTTTTTTTTTTTTTGTAATTCTCTTACTCCTTTGTATTTTCGCGTTGTTTGTTTGAAGCATGTTTGGCGTGACAGAGCTGCCAATTGGCTCCGACTGTGCTCTGCAGAAACGAGGCCACGAGCATCGACTGGCCACCTCCGTTGCGGGTGGTGGAGGTGGTGACAGCTGCAACACTGACACAGAGCTCCTCTTCAATTCCCACCCCCATTCCAAGACTCTGATGCGTGGGGTAAACCGCACAGAGCATCATGAAACAAAACATGGAGACAAGGTAGGGGAGGAAGAAGGGAGGCGTCTCGACACTGCTGGCATTGAAGCGGCAGGAGCTTCCAGCAGTCGCTCGTTTCGTGTACGCCTGACACATCATTATAGCCCAAAGACGTATGCACAGTCATTGAACCCGTCGGGGAGTGCGTCCCTATCACCATATGAGACAGTGGCACCCTGGTTGGGGGCTGCAGAGAGGCGTGACCGGAGCAACACACAATGGGAGCCCTCTGTGGAGCACCAGTCTCGTGATTGCCAACAAAACAGCCATCAAGAAAGGGAATTTCATAGCGCTATGGAGGTCACGGACCACAAAACAACAGGACGCTTCGAGTCACACGCAACACCAACAACAACGAGAACGAGGGGAAGTCAATTAGTGAGATCTTTCGTAAGTTTAGAGGAGAGGCCAACACAAAGAGCCCAAGAGCAACGTTTGGCTCACGAGGGAGAGGCACAACTACGACGAGAATACGAAGCTAAGATCGCTGAGCTTGAGGGCGTCATCCATGCGAAGCAGCGTGCCGTCTTTGATGCAGAGGCTGCTCTTGTACAGAAGGATATAGAACATCAAACTGCTAGAGCATCAATGGCCCAGAGGCTTAATGAAGAAGCTGCAGCCAATGCTCGGTGCATGCTGGAAATGACACTGGAAAAACGTGAAAAAGAAATAGAGGATACACAGGAAATGCTGCGAGCAGAGCAAGCATGTCTTGCTGGGGCTTTACAACGGGAGGAGGTCCTTCGCAGCAGATTTCTTGTTGCTGAAGAGACCCGAGTGCTGTACCAACTTTACTTGCAGCGTCTTCTGGAGTTGTTTCGTACGCGTCCAAAAGAAGGATTTGATGTCTCTCTATGCACGGGACCATTGGTGACAAATAGAGATGTGCTGAAGGCAATAGGAGAGGCGTTGCGCTCAACGGATGCCGCAACGTATGGTGAGACCAATGCCACTTATGAGTTAACTCCAGAAGGGCGAGGGAGTGGCGATGTTGAGTTGCAGTCGTCACCCAAACTGTCACAGCAATTGACGAATGCCACTTTGCTCAAAATGTCCATGCTGGAGTCTGCAGTGTCGGACTGTATGACACTTTGGACACGTGAGGAGAGGCGGCGTCATGAGTACTGCAAGCAGACTATTGAAGCTGTTGTTAATAGTTGCAGGGAGGAGATGGAGGCACAACTTACCCTTGTATTAAGTGTTGTCGGAAAGACGGAGCGGCGCATCGATAAATACGGGAAGATGGTGTCGACTGCCCTGGGGGAAATCATGAAAAGCGGTCATGATAACCAAAACTGCGTGGATGACCTGCAGAGGGAGGTGAAGCGGCTTAACCGTGAATACGCCCAGTCTCAACGACTGCTGCAACGGGCACAAGCGGAGGTGAGTGGTCTCAAGGACGAGGTTCGACGTATGGATGGCGATCGCGAGGTTGCCCTGCTGATCCACCGGGCTGCCGAATGCCTTGAAGATGTTCGGCAAAGCGTGCGGGGCGCTGTCCGATCGGCGGCACAAGACATTGAACGAGGTACGTTAGAGTGTAACACTTTGAAGGAACCGTTTCTTCAGTCAATGCGTGTCATTGCACTGAAGGTGGAGGCTCATGCAGAAATTGCACGAACGGCGGTTCGGCGAGAGCAACGCGAAGGTGGAGGAGATCCCATTGAGACGGTAATGCGACGACCATATTCTGTTGATGCTGGGGATGCGCGCCACTTTATTCTTGGCACACCGCGTTGCAATTTACGGGGCCTTGATTGGCATGCCGCCCAACTACCGAGGGAAGATGTGGCTGGGGAGTCAAAGAATCTATTAATATTAGCGGAGTTAAACCGTGTGATGAAAAATTTTTGTCAGCTTCTTGAGAACAATGCACGACAAATGGATAAAAACATGGCAAATCTGGCTCAAACCATCGCTAGTTGGGAGGACTCCATTGTTGGTAAGATGAATGAAATTTGGGGGTTTATGCGTGAAATGCTTGCTGCGGGTGGTATGACGTCAAGACCAAGGCCAGCACTGGCCGTCCATGAAGGGGTGCAGCGGCATGAGTGGTGCAACGAGCCACAACTGGCTCTTGGTGGCACGAACACTGACGGTAGCACAAGGGTGTTGATTCATCAAACGCCGCCATTATTTTCATCCGCGGCTGGTGGGTTGAAATCGTCCTGTGCAGGAAGTGTTGCCACATCTGGTAGCTGCGCGCCTTCCGCAGTCTTTGCGTCATCCACCACCGGTTCAGTGGATGCCAGCCGGGCTGCAAATGCAGCACTCACATCGTCATTGCGGCGCGCTCCTCTCGCCCCGCTGCATGAAGTAGAACTGACGCCTGACGTGCCTACACGCCGTGTCATGGAGCAGACGTCACCGCCGTCGATCGCCGTGTCACGGACGCCGACCCCACCACCACCACCACCACCACCACCGTCGTCGCAAGTGATAAACACGGCTCCACCGTCGCAGCGACCAATGCAGCATCAGCAGCAAAATTATTTACATCAGCAGCGACGACTTTTTGCGGAGCCCCCGTACAACTCGCCCCTGCCCGTCAATGACTCTATACCCACGCTGCGGATGCATTACACAAGGGAGTTGGGTGGCGTTGAAGGGAATGAGTTGCGGTTAGTGTCTGGTGCCGTTCTTTCTCGACGTGCGGCGGCGTCGTCGTAGGGACGAAACTAGTTTGGATGAGAGTGCGAGTTTTTCCATTCCTCCAGAACCACCAAAGAAGAAAAGGAAGACGCAGAGGTGCGGAGACTATTTTATGTTTTTTTTTTGTCGGCCTCCGACACACACACGCACAGAGAGAGATAGAGACAGACATTTCCTGCCAAATCAGGGACGCGTTTTTAGAAGAGCCTGTTTAATCCTTATAACTTGTGTGCTTCATTGTGATGCACCACCCTGACCTGCTTTCTTTTTTGTAGGTTTTTTTTTCTTTTTATTGTGACTTGATTTTGATGATGTTATTGGAGGGATATTGTGAATGTGTATGTGCATGTCTATTTGTGTGAGGAGTGCTCCACAGGGAGCAAATGGGCAGAGTGACTGGCCATCATCTCTCATGACTCGGCCCTCCTGCCTTCACTCTTGCGGCTAGTTTCATCATTTACCTCTGCCTCCTCTTCACGGTCGCTCTTTTTGTGTGTATATGCGGCGGCCCATCAACGCGACGGCATTACGGGATTGTACTGCTGGAGTGCTGCACAACGCAAACCGAAACATCCGCTGGGAATAATAAGGGGAGGGAAACTGGGGTATGTCACGTGGCGATACCCAGTTGCGGTCAGGCTCCGCGCCAAATTGCTGGGTGGATGAGGGCCTGTCTACTCAAGCACCCAAAAATGACTCCTTTGCACACCTCATTCGGGCTCGAGAGGAGCAACAAAAGCGCATCCGCGACGCATTGGAGGAGCAGAACCGTCAACTACGTGCGCGCCTTGCCTCTGAAGAGGCCAATCAAGGTGATCCTACATCTGCTAGCTCTACAGCCGCCGTCTGTCGCTGGTCATCGCGTTCTCCATCTAAGCAGCCGACAGTGCCAGTTGAGGAGTTTATTACCTTCGTGACGGAGATGAAGCATCTTATTAACTACGCCCAAGAAGCGGACCTGGTGGCTCTTCATGCACTTCAAGACCAGGTGGATTTTCAAAAACGTGATCTTATTCAGCGGATAGCAGAACTAGAGGCGCAGATGATTGCCATTCAGCGGCGGGAGGAGTTTGGATACGCTTCTGGCGGCAACCCCTTTGCACTCATGTCACACTCCAGTGCGAGAATGCATGAAGGCAAGCCAGCACTAGAGTATGTGTTACATGAGCTGGAAAATGTGCGTCGTACAGCGGAGGAGGCAATGCAGCGTGCACGTAAAATAGATGAGACTTTGGAGAGGCAACAAATATCTTCTTGTGTATTTGAGAGGGATCTAAATGCACTAGAAACAAAAATGGTAGATTTTGAGTCCTTGCCCACTCTTTTCAGGCAAGAAGCTATGATGCTGGAGGAACGCTATGTGGAATTTACCCACCGAGTGCAAGAGGAGATTGCGCAGAGGCAGGAACAGCCGCCACTATCCTTTGAAGGCAACGCTGATCCTATACGGCTACTGCAGGAGCAATTGCAGGCGGTGGAGCGTGCTGTAGTTGAAATAGGTCAACGAGACACTGTTGCAGCCAACGATCATGTAAATGGTGACATAAAAGGCCTTGTGTCCGGCTTCGTCAACGCAAAAGTGCAGGAAATTAAAGAGGCGGCTGAAAGCTCTCTTTGGGCAGAGCTGCAGGAGTTTCACAAAGTCGCATCCAACAGTGCCGGAGTCGACCCAACCTTCTCGCCCGGAGAAGGGGTTCCGTTGGGTTTGAACAGGCTGGACGATACCACAACGAGCCTTCTGGAGGATTTGGCTGAGAGGGTGCGATATCTGGAGACAACGTTGCATGCCGTAACGAAGCTTGATTCCACGGAACAACCTTCATCGGAAGAAGAAATTGTTGAACCGCCGACAAATATGTTGAAGAGTGCTGCTATCATAGTTGAGAGAGCTATTGCACGCAGCGCAACTTCATTCGTTGACACTGCTATCTTGGACACCAGAGAACTTGTGGAACGTCTGGAGAGGATCGAAACACAAATGAACGCCCTCCAAGACAGGCTGAACTACTTTACTACCAAGCTGGATACCTGCAATACAGAGCATAAGATGCCTACTGGGCAGTGTGTGCCTACAACAGACAGAGGCGTTCAGTGTTCACCTATTGTGGAAAGTGACGGTAATCATGTGGTCATTTCCATCAAAGGCCGACCTACTCAAGAAGGCGTTAACCGCCAAATACAGGGTGAGCTTGAGCTCGCGGCGCTTGGGCTGCACACTGGGGCTGTGGAGCAGCATGGTATGTCACACAATGTAGATACAACAACTACTCCGAATGGAGGACAATCTGTGGACGAGAATATTTCAATGACTCCTCCTCCTGATTACGCGGCAATGTTGTATACACGCAGAAGGAAACCAGCGACGAGAGAAGAGACCAGAATAATATCATTTGGCCCATTCAAAGCGCCTCACGTGACAATTACCCCAGAGAGTCTTTCAAAGACGATTACAGGAATACATGAGCAAAAACGGCACAAAGAGGATACCGTGAAGAGGGTTATTGCCGCTCTACGCGATGTTCAACAGCAATTTTCAAAGTTGTCTGAAATAGAGTCACCCGCCCAACGCAAATGCACACGGCAAACTGGGTGCGAGCGCACAACATCCAGTACACAAGAGGACTCAGACCCCCTCTTGGAGACAATAGTAAGCCAGAAGGAGGCCATACATTTTAAGGAGAAACAGTTGATGAACCTGCGCAACAAGCTTTGGCGCGAAATCGCACAGCTTGAAGAGGATGAGCGGGAACTCTTAGCGTAATAGTTTTTCTCCTCTTCATCGGTTACCCCTCTCTTCATGCGTGTGAGTAGGAGTATGTACATACTATTACTACTATTACGTGTTAGGTTTATTTTCCAACACCTATTTTCTATTTTCGCTTTATCGATTCTCTCTCTGTGTGAAAAAAAGCCTGACTCTCGAGAGTTACGTGCTATCTCCCAGATACTTTCACTTCAAATCCGTTCCCACAACATCTGCATTCATGTATTTAACGACTGCAGGTTCTCTGTGGGCCAATTTTTAACTTACGAGTGCTTACACACTTTTTATTTTGCTTATATAAGCTTGTTAATTGCGGTTGTTTGCTCCTTACCGTCGCAGCAACGCATGCCTGTGGGCGCGGCAGTGGTGGACATGTCGATGCCCGCCTTCCCCCTTGCACTGAGTGAATGGTGGGCGTTGTCTGGGAGTCGTTTGTTTGTTTGTTTCTTTTTGTGTTTTCCGTTCCCCTTGGCTGTGCATTTTTCGCATTTTGTCTGTGTGTTTGTGTGTGGTTCAAATGTCCAAAAAAAAAAAGAAGGGAAAAACCTCGATTCACACGAGCTAAAGTTAAGCTACCCAAGCAACAGCATTATTGTCAGTTGAACTTCATCGTCAAGAATGCTTCGCCGTTCCTTTTTACGCATGGTTGGCCTGAACAAGGTTATGCCGTTGGAGAAGGCCCTTGCCGACGTCAAGAATGGAGCCTCACTCGCCGTTGGCGGTTTTGGAACGGGTGGCATGCCACACGCGCTTGCAAAGGAGCTTAAGCGCACTGGTGTCCGGGACCTCAGCATCTACAGCGATGGTGGCGGTATT